CAGCAAGAATCTGCATTATGTGCACTTTCAAACACCATAAACAGAAACATTTTAAAAATTGCGATCGAGAATTGTGCCAAAAATACATGGTATGTTAAGAAAGCAAGGTAGCAAATTATTTCAGAGAGACATCAAAATACCTTTGAGAGTGTGATGTGCATGCCCGCAGGACTCTGCCTCTCCGCCTTCCCACCGCCCACTTACCCTCCTGCCTTATTTGGTAGAGTAACAGGGACTGAAGACAAGAAGGAAAAGCTTGGCTTGGCAGCCGGATGACAATATAGCCTGTTTTGTGTATGCTGTAACTTGTGGTCACTATCTTGGTTAACCCTGCTGCCTCTCGCTCGCTTTGAGCATGCCCTTCCTCTGCTCTTCACCCAGGGTCCAGCCCCAAGATCCCTCTCTTGCCCTGGGACGGGCACCAGCAGCAAAGGGCCCAAAGGAGTTCCACCTCACACAGGATGAAGCAGGCGAGGAAAGAGTCTATGGATACGCTGCAAGCTAAAAAAAAAAGCAAAAAAATCCAGGTTTATGACCCAAGGAGAAAGGTCAGAACAAGCCTACTACAGTACAGCTTGGTGCATTCAATCCTTCTCTGCTTTAATTTGCACCAAAATGATCATCTATGACCAGAGCAAATTAATTTTAAGAAGCAAATAGGCACATGGGCCAGGAGGAGAACAGGCTGGCAAACACTGAAATAAAATGATGTCTCCGATGTCTCTGGGTGGGCCAGGTCCTGCAGCACCAACCAAGACAACCTGCAACATGGGATGGGGCGCTTCCCTCTGAGGTCTGCTGCAAACAGAAGCCTTTGAAACTGAAGCTCAAACATTATCTTTGTCTTCAGAAAGGAGACACCCATGAAATTATTGATCCATTTGTCCAACTTCATCCTTAGGGAGATTCTGGAACACAGCAAACAATTCTGTACCCTTTCTTCTCCCTGTTTACCAGGCCACATCTAATCACCAAAACCAGCTTGAGCCAAACCAGTCCAGTTTCCTTTTTTCCTTTAGTCCAGACCTAACCTATGAGGCAACATCCTTCTAATCAGCTTAAGGAAATACAACAGTTAATCACTGAAATGGATGTGCAGCTGACTGAAAAAAAAAATCTCTTAAAGAGGACTCGACTGCCCAGCGGGGGATGGTGAACACCGGTACTTTACAGGAGCCTCTCAGGTTAGCAGCCTTATTCAGCATCTTAAATGACTTGATCATGTGAAAGGATATATTCCACAGATAATATCGAATGCAGAACGGTTACAAAGGTCCTTAGGGACACAAGTAGAGTGTGAAAAAATTGCACAAGTTTTCCAAATGGCACAAAAACACAAGTTAAAAAAATGGAATTCAGTAAAAATGTTAAAAGCACTAATCTTAGGGAGGCCAAACCAAGTTTGCAGTCAAAAGTGACTGACAAGGCAATGGTATTGCTAGAAAGCGTTTGGAATTGTAGAAAGCCACAGACTGAGAACTAGTAATACAACGATCCCTTGCCAAAAGAAAGAAAAGAAGGAAAAAAAGCATATGACAGGGAAAGACGACTGACAGACAAACAAGGTGATTGCTGTGCCGTTGTGAGGCTGATGCAGCCTTGCTTGGAGAGCGACTCCACTCTAGAGAGCCAGCAAGAACGATGAAAGGTTCGGAAAACATAACCTAGGAGACAAGGCTGAAAGATTGTTATTTTTTCCCCCAAAGCAGAAGGCAGAGGCAGAACTGAGGGCAGTAATTCCAAATGCAAAACAGCTGCTAAAAAACTACGCTCCACGGCAAAGAGCAGCAGGCTAAGAAATTGGCTTCAGTTGCAGCAAGGTCAGTTTAGGTTAATTATTAGGGGAGTTTCCTAATTAAGAAGAATATAGCAGGGGAACAGTCCATTTAGGGAGACTTTGACTACAGCTACTTTTCCAAGTCGGTTCAATCGGACAAACATCCATCACGAAACGTTCTGATCCTGTTGCAATTTGGCAGAGCACCCACTTGGTGTTGCCCTGAGAACTTCTCCAGCCCTACGGTGAACTTTAATAAATGCGTGTTCAATATCATTTTACATACGCCCCATAATCAAAAGCGCTAATGTTACACACCTGACAAAAATGGTCTAGTTTTTCAAAGCCTGCAGGATTTTTGCTCCAAGCTGAACTCAAACACAACGCTTGAAGTCCCGGGCACAGGAGGGCAGACCCCCTTTTTTCCCCTATTGGGTTATCAGGTTTTCTAACTTTTATTTCCCCTAGGAGAAAAAGTGACTGGAAGTCTTACGTGCAATAAAAGCTGTGTGAAAATCACCTGTGGAAAAACATTAACTAATGGTTCTACCTTAGATCCTGCCGTTCCTGTTGGGGTTATCTACATTTGAATACTCTCCTGGAACACGACAGGATGTGAATTTAAAACTAAATAGTCATAGCCTGAGTAACTCTCCGTTGTAGCTGAACCCTTGACGGAAGGACTGAGCAATTATGCACCCAGCTGGCACTTTCTACACCTACATTTTGTGTGAAGGGAGGAAATTTGTAAGGCTCAGAGGCTCTGAAGTGTAGGAAGGTGAAACGCTCCAAGAGGCAAAACAGATAAATACGAGCTAATTTAGTGCTCGCAGTGCCATTGTCAAAAATCAGTAGATTTGGTTTCAATTTGCTGCTTTAAAACAGGTTCAGGAAAAGCAGCAATGAAACCTTGAAGGAAACCTGGATTCCGATATTTCAGACCTTACAGAATTACACTGTAAACGTGCGGAGATCTCTGAGACAGCAATAGTTGATACTGTGTGATCTAATTGATCTTTAATTAGGTCAACTGGAAAGGATGCCCATTTCGCACACCAGCTTGTTTCTAGCATGAAGCACATGTTTGGTGTATTTTTATCACAGAAGTCGTGAGGCCAGCTCCACTATGAAAGCAAGATATTAATTTAACTCCTGGTTCAAGTCACTCCTACCTTGCCATTTAGCTTAGTAAATTTTGTCCAAGTTCCAGAAAGTGATACTAACTTTCTGAGCTTAACAAACCTCATTCTTATTAAGCTTTTGGTCTCATCATACTCTTATCCGAGTCCTTTTTAGCAATTTGAGACAAATTAAGTACAGCAAAACTTAAGTGTAATAACATAAGAGCACAGTTCCTTGAAATACTCATAAACTGGAAAGCATCTTTTTATAGATGCTTCGTGGAATTGCCATTAAAATAATTCCAGCACTTTGGTAAAGGGAAAACAAGGAACAGAAAGCAGTACTCGAAAACGCTGGCTGTTTTACAGCTCTGCCATGACAGCAGTGATCAACTTTCACAGCTGAGGTACTACTTGAAGAACACAATTTTGCAGTAATAATTAATTGTACCGTTGTAGAAAGGATGCACTAAGGATAAATGAGGCAGGGCTTACGAGTAAAGAAAAATGATTTCATTAACCTAACCAACATAACTGGAGAAAAGAGAACAAAAAACCCAAAAGCCATCAGCAAGCTTTCGGTTCTTATACCCTGCCAACCTGAAGCACAGTTTCCAGGCCTGAAAGTTTGTCTCTCTCCTGTCCCTCCCACCCAAACCCAAGCTGCTTTGCTGTGGTTATAGTGTGGCTTTATTTACATCACAGCGATCTTAAGTCATCTGCTTTAACCATGCTTCAACATAGCTAGCAAGAAACTCATTCATATAGAAAAATGTTAATCTGGCTTTTCATCTGAACTGTAATTATCAGCTAGAAGCCACGTTCCTACAGCTGGTGACAGAACGGATCAGGGCTGCCTGACACAGCGCTTCCAGCAGAAATCAAATGAGCAAAACTAACGTATTTGGGAATCATCTTGGCGGACCTACTGTCATGCTGGCAGATCTCCTCCCACCAGCCCCACCATGCACATTGCTGGACCTCCAGCGCTCAGCAGCCGCTCCACCACCGTCCCGGGGCAAGAGGCAGGGAGGGAGGTTCCCACAGTGCCCTGCCTCTACCTGGGCTTCCAGCCACCTACCCTCCTCCGTTCGCTGGGCTAAGGGGAAAAACCCTCCCAAACCAGGTCTTTTTTTTTTTTTTTAAATGAAAAATAAATCAACATTTCCCTTCTAGGGGAAATTCTGAACATTTCAAGTGTGAATTCAGAGGTATATTTATTGAAGAATTGCCAGTGAATGGAAACTCCCAGTAAGTGAACAGTTCTACCTAACAAGCATTAAAATGCTGTGGCTTGCAATTCAGTGTGTCCATCCATTGACTCAGTTAAAGCTATTCAACTATGTCATATCCTGATTGAAACCAATAAAAATTCACAAAATCAAGAGTGGAAGCATGCCAAATACAGAAAACCTATTCAATTATTTTGTATTTCACATGGTATTTATTGAAACAGAAAAAGGTCATTTATGGTGGTTAAAATTATAGTTGGTCATTATGGCCATCAAAACTGTAGAATAGGAAAAGAAAAACATACCAATATTCTTAAATTCACAGTTTATTCCTTAATTTTGAATGATCTGGTCACTGAACTGAAGGGAAGGAAGGATACTTTCCTCTGAACCTTTTGAAGAAGCCATTGCTAATGTGTTTACTTGGCAGTTGAGCACATTTGGATCTAAGCAGCTAGGTAATGGCTTTCATCAGTTTAACAGCCTGACATTTGTAAAGACTTCAGCAGCTAACCAAAACATCACATATTCAAACTACTTTCGGTAAGGTCACAGCAACCTCCATTAAGTTCCAGTCTGCGAATTTCTGACTTCTCTATAGTGTTATGAAATAAAACCTGCCAAAGTAACAAAATGACGGTGCGACGGGAAGGCACAGGGTGAGAGCACAAGTTGGGGGGCACAACTCCATCCCTGCTTCATTACTCAAACCCCCAAAATCACAGCTTTGGTGTTCTCGGCCGGTTGCGCAGACTGAGCTCCCTCACAGGGAAGAGGACAAAGCGATACTCAGTTTTCCTTCTCTCAGTGTTTTGCCTTCCTCAAACATGCCTCTCCTATTGAACAATTACCACCTTTTCTGGCTCAGCTTATCTTCACAACACAACAACAGAACACCATGCAATTTTACCAAAAAACATTCAAACATTTATTCATTCTTTAAACAAACTTACAAATCAAGTAACTGCACTGAAGAACAAACGCACGTCAGTACAACCAAGAAAATTTCAAGCTAAGAAAACAAAAAAAAACCATAAACAAGAGAATTTAAAGATTAACATATACTGAGACGCTTGCTTTACATGCCAAAACACAGACTCAAGAAAGCCATCTGTTAGGAAGAATATCAATAACTGTTACTCAGAAAACTCAAACCATTTTTATTGCCATCTCATCCTTTGCATTTGAACCTTCCCTTAGCCTAGCCCTTTCAGTCTGGCCTTCTCTTCCTTTTGCTTTATGAATTTGTTTTGCTTGTTTTTTACAAAAGCACGCTTTGATTTGTTATCCACACCAAAACAGAGCCAAAAGAATTTAGGGCAAAGTACTAAGGATCTTCTTCCTCGGTTGTTTTACTGAAAGCCATAAAGCTTTATATTACACTATTATGCTTCCTTATATTGAAAGAACACATTTCTGTTTGTCTAGTGATCTACAATTAGCAACATTCTAGATGAGGTAGATTTGAGAAATATTTCTATCTCCATTATAATACGAAAGTTGGGGGAGGGGAGGGAGTTAAGTTGGCAAAGGAATTAAATAACTCGTTGTCCCACACTGTTCCTCTACCTCTGGATCATCAAATACTCCTGCTAGCTGATTTTGTATAACCTGAGTTTTGTTACATCTCACTGAAATCCCTGAGACTTTAAGTTTGTTTTGCTTCATTAACCAATTCTCGTGTCTTTTTTTGGAGCCTGATTTTAAGTAAAAGATATAAGCTCCTATGTGGCCTCTTAGTTCTGCTACATTTCTCCTCCCAGTTCTACCACCAGTCGCTAGAGGTAGGCGAGAGATGTGGGGGCAATTATTTTTGACAGGCTCGAGGGAAAGTAACTGGATTTATTAAGACAGGGAACACAGAGGGGGTAGGGGATGCACATTTGTAGCTGAAAGGCCAAGCTCCTCCAGTCCCACTTCTCACAGCACAGGATGTTCCAAAAAAAGTAGTACTTCCCTTCAGATTTTTGACTGAACCCAATTTGAGGACAGAGCTGCCTTGTAAAAGCTAAGTTAGTGGCGAGAGAAGTTGTCCTTAGCAAACTTCGGGGGGGGATCTGCTCCCAGGCTGCTGAGATTGCCGGTCTCAACTTGCACGCACTTTCCTGCACGGAAAACTGTGAGGAGCAAGCAATTCCTGAACTGCTGACTATAACCAGCCTGCACAAATCCCCTTCTCCCCATTAGTTTCTACCTCCCTTGTCAGAGCCCAGTCAAGGTGCTGCTGTTAACATCCTTGCAGCACAGGGTACAGACTAGCGCTCACAATTGCGAGCAGAGCAATTTCACAGTTGTGCCAGAAACCTTCCGTTGAACTCTGCTGGGTAAAGCACTTCCAAATGAAACCATGAGGAAAATGAACCAACCAATTTGCGATTTAGAAGACAAAAAAAAAAAAAAGAAAAAAATCAGCTGCTGCAGCAAACGTAGGACAAAAACATGAAAAAGTCAAATCAGCACCTTACTTTTAAATTGCCGAGTTCCAAGAGAGGAAGTTCAAATCACAGCCTCATCATTAGAGAAAGAATAAAGCTTGCCCCCCAGAAAGTAAGCTGGGGTTTTCATCCCCTCTTTCACCAAACCCATCAGCTCAGCAGTGAGGATGGGTCTTAAAGTCTTTGAATTCATTCAGTTTCTGTGGTTTAGCATGTGCTAAGCATGAGGCCATGGCTCCTTAGACTCACGTATCCACTATCTGGTAATTTTGCTAGACAGACTCAGGATGACTTAGCTTCCAAATTCAGATGATTTCAGGCCAATATGGCCAAAGTAGAATCATGGTCAGGTGAGATTCAATACAGAGTCATCAGCCACAGCACAACACAGGTAAAGAATCCTATTTATCATTTAAAACAAAGTATAATTAACTCAAATAGTTCATGGAGGCAAGGTAAAAGGCCTGAGGACAGGCACTTGAAAGGATAATAAAATAATACAAAAAAAGTAAAGCTGTTTTATGAATAGTCTGAACACCACTGGAAGGTGAAGAGGATTTTCATATACACTTTTAAAGAAAAAAACCCCTCTCTTTTATTGGTTTTGATCAGTCCACAGCTGAAGCATATCAACCAGAACCTTCTGAAGATCATAAATGTCCTCTGGAAAGCACCCAGCACCCTGCCCAGCCACTGGGGAAGAGGCCATTCACAAATGATGCATCTGCTCCGGCATCCTCTCTGGCAGCGCTTCCACATAGTAGCAGTAATGAGCCATGTCTCACCTGCTGCAAAACAGAATCGCGTACTTCAGCGAAGTCACAGCGCCTGCTCCAAAAAAAGTCCGTTTAGAGTCTAACAGGAGGCACAAACAGGAGTGTAAACAACAGGCGGCAGGTCAGAGCTGGCCTGTGCCAGGATGAGAGATGCTGCAATGCAGTCAACAGATGAAATTTATGTACACGCTCATCTTGAAAGATCCAAGATGAGTATTTCTAGCAGAGATGGAGGAATGGCCAATGTCAGTGATGTTTCTTCTGAGCATCTAACAAATGAGAAGGTTCAGGAAGGACTCAGTAAGCTGGTGAATGTCTTGCAGGCCAGTTCACATCTATGTTGTCACCTGAGGTAAGGGAGCATGAAGAAAAGTCTTTCCTCATCTTTCGTTGGTAATGACAGTTTATCGGTTTTCATTTTCAGAATAAGAGCACTCTAGAGTTTCTGTTAAAACTAAAGAATGAATTTCTTCTTCCTTAATTAACCTGTTGTAAGCGTTCACAGAATCATCTTTTGCACAGGTCTGAAAGAGAACAACAACAACATGTTTAACAGAGTTTCCTCATGGTGAGCATAGCTTTTTCAGTCCAACAGAAGTAAGAACATCAGTTTCACAACGTATGTGGTACATGATGGTGAAAAAGCCAAAAAAAGCTGGGCAACAAAGAGCATCTCTTAGAGACATGGCTAAGGCCTGGTCAGAAGGATTGTGCTTTCTAGAGGTGAGGAAGATTCGAAAGTTGGCCGGCATCTAACAGTGCCCTCCCAGCTAGAGCTAATGCCTGAAGATCAGGCAGAGAGGGTTGGAGAAGTGGGAAAGTACCTACTTAGCACAGTTTTCACCGAGACCCTGAGCACGCAGGAGATCAATACAACAGGATAGGAGCCAGCAGGTATTGTTATTCGGGGCAGGCAGAGAATTCAAAGCAAGACAAAGTGTAACAGCTACACTAGTTATGATCCTGATGGCCACAAGCCCCATCTTAGTCCCATAATGTTTATTGCATGTTGAAGTATTTATCCAGAAAGCGTAAACTAGGAGGCCAGAGCCATGCTTTCCTCACGGTTCCAGGCTATTATTAGGGAAACTCAGTCTAACTCCATGGTGAAAGGCACTGCTGGGGTCTGGACTCTGCCTCCATTCGCAGTTGGGAAGCCGTGAAAGGCAACTTCTTTTTGAAAAATTAGCAATTCTTGCTGCTCAACTGAGAATGCCTGGGAAACACGCGGCACCAGAAACCCTGGCAGTTGTTATCCTCTACAAAGGTTTCACAGGGAGCATCAGTTTTGAGAGACTGCCATGAGTTAAAAGGTCCCTTCCAGGCAAGGATTGCCATCAGAGAACAACACACATCGCTTCATTTCCAGGTCTGAATTAGGGTTTGTAGCTCATTTTACAAAGAACTATTGAGTTATTTTTATTTAGAAACCCAGACACAAGAAGTGCAGAAGAGTTTCTGTAATTAGCGCTATGTTTATTTTTCCTGAAATAAGGCCATGTAGTGAGTCTTTTAATCAACCAAAGCTTGAAGCAGCTATGGTTAGTTCTGTTCCTTTGCCAACGAGAAGCTAAATATCTTGATTTACCTCATAACTAACCGACTGTGATAACTGTAAGTTTCTGGAAGTCAGATGTGAATAGTTTTATTCAGCAGCAGAAATAGGAGCAACCAGCAGACAAAGATCTGAATGTTCATGAGAAGTAGTTTAATGGAGTTGCAAAGAAAACAATTTAAGGGACTAGAAGGCTGCAAGAATAACAGAATAAATATCTGGAAAAGGTCATGCAATTTGAGAAAAAAATCCTTAGTTTTGGGTAATTGTTTCTGTACAACTCTTAGCCTTGTAAATACTTAGTCTGCATAAAATATACTTACATATATAAAGGTGGTTTTAAGACAGACAAATATCAGAAATAAAATTGGGGGAAAAAAAAAAAAAGGAAGCCTACAGAATCCAATTCCAACAGATCAGGTGGCCAAAGAGCAAAGCACTAACCTGGGAATCCTCATTCTGCTCTCCAAACATACGCTTAAGAATTTCTCGAGGGTCAGGAATTGGTGGAAGGATTAATATCTTCAGCCTTCGGAAAAGTGAAAAGCCAAGTTTTAGACAAAAGAGGCAGTAATCTAAAAATCACCATTTCAAAGCCAGACGTAGGTGCAGTTATGAAAATTTGTGAGTAAACTGACATCGCTGGCCAACTGTCATCCTCTGCGCAACTGTGGCTCATTTTCATTTTTACTCCCCAAAACAAAAGGAAATGGGAATGTTCACACGGAGTCAAATTCTAAATAACTTCCAATAGTGACAAGGGCAGCAGCAAGAGTAGAATTGTTTTGTTAATCTAGTACAAGGAACTTCCTATAGATTTTCTCAAATTTGAATTTGGATTTCACTACTTAAGAGAGGGGATGCAATGACTGTGCAGCAGGAACCTAACTGCAAGCAAGTACAAGCAGATATAAACAACATCACCAAAGTACAACCAGAACATACATCTAGTCTATCAACCTAATTCTAACTACTGAAGCACAATAGCGTTGCCATTTTTTTAATGCAATGCATGTGAGGGAGAAAACAGCCACTGCTGAAACACGCCACATCATGGACAGTTATCTGGAAGTGAGGTGAATTATAATGCAAATCAAAGACCAATCAGAAATAATGGACTGTAAATAAAGGGATACAAATATTTACCTTTTTAGGTAAAAAAGTAGAATTATCGTAGATACTGCTACTATTAATGGAATGGTGATTATTAAAACAAAATAGAGTGTAGAGTCTGGCTTTTTACCTGGAAGACAAAAATTGGTAGAAACTTAAGAAAGTTTCTGGAAGCTTTATAGGAAGAAGGACAACAAATGAATTAATTCTCTAACTCACAGGCTGAACATTTTTGGAATATACGAATGCTTTTGTAGGCAAGAACTTATTTTTCAAAACATATTTATAATGTAGATAAAGTTGCTAAGAAAGTGAGAACCAGAGAGGCCTAACAGATGAAACCTGAAGTTCAGCAAACTCAGAGCTAAGAACTGTTCTTACCAATACTCTTTTCTTCACTCCAGTCACTATGGAGCTTGCTGCTGTAGCACTCGGGCTTTGGTTTTGCTCTCACACTGAAGGTGTACTTGGTATTAGGATCAACACTGGGAATTGAAGTATGATTATATTCAACCTAACATAAAAAAAAAAAAAAAAAAGGAATTTACTGTGCTCAATTACCAGCATACTCTCACTCATTTACAAGCCTCTTTTTGCTCTGTTCATATCTTTTGAATGTTTTTATGGGAGATCCTTTTGTGAAGAACTTCATAAAAAGGACATAATAGCATTTAACTTGCTTGATGAAAAAGGCTGCCAAAACAAAGATTCCAATGCTAACATTTAAACTGACTCACTCCTATATCTATTATACAACATTTGGCACCGGTGATTAAACTAAGACTCAGCGCTAAGATTCAGTGTCTGGCACTGCATTTTACTTTTTTTTTTTTTTTTGGCAACATCTGTGATTTATGCTGCCTTCCCCTCTGTCAGTCACTGCAGCGATGTTGATCAAGCTTTGTCCATGCAAAAGTCTTCTGGGATACCTCTACAGAATGACAAAGATTAGCTGGGATAGGACTTCACTTATACGCAATCTGAGAGTCCAGTTTCTTGGGGAATGTTGATACAATACCACTTTGCTGCGTTTTGGGTAGGACAAACAGCCAGATAAGTTCCCCAAGCGAAGACTAGCCCCTTACTTCTGAATTTGTCATGTTGTTCACCATTCTGATCAAACAGTACAGTCAGCTTGATTATTCAGATACATGAATGAGTAAATGCAGATACTGAAGTCAACGCCTTTTAGACAGATAGATTTTGATGTACATATAATAGTGCACTTTTTTCCTTGTCCTCAGTCTTTTTTTATCCTCTTGATTTTCTGGATAACATCCTGTGCGCACCAACAATTAATTTTGCTTTATGGCAATCAAGTCACATCATCCAAGACCAAATAAGTCATCTGACAGAGAGCAGCCCAACAATAGGAAAACGCAACACCAACAGAGCCAGGCTCCTTCCATACCGGTGAGAAGCAAACAGGTACATGCAAGACAGTGCATCTCCTGGGAAGTGCTACTTGGTTCAGTCTATACCTCTTTTAATTGGACTCTTCTTATATATTACTGCTTTGCCATAGTAAGTGGTGGCAAAGATTCAGAAGATTAGTCCTGATTACATTGCATAGGTATTACGACCAGAAACCTATCGTATGGGAGAAAAATCTAGTGTGTCCATGCAGCCCTTCCAGCTAGTGCAACAGACCCATCCTCATGCAGCATATATAATTATTCATTTTTAAAAAGAATACTTGAGTTACTGTGATCATTTACACAAATTATAAAAGATCCACAGGACAAAACAGGTAGCTGGAAATAATGAAAACTTACTTTAATTATCTGAGGTGTGTTCAGATCACTATTGTGGTACTTCACTTCATAATATAGACAATTTGCTGGAAAGGTGTCTGATTTGCTCCATTCTAGATGTATGTCATTGTTAACCTTTGATAGTCTAACTGTTTTGGGGGTAGCAGGTTTTACTGAAATGCAAAACAGAAGAATTAGTTAAAAACTGTATATTACTGGTTACAAAAGTGGTCTTGTATTGCATGGTATTACTTATATACTAGCGTTCAGGAACAGAAAAAGGGAAAAAATTAGCACTAAAAAGTAAAGACTTTGAGTCTTTGGACTCCAAAGTAAAGTATTTGGACTCAATACTTTAAAAAAAAAAAAGACCCTATCTGAATAATGCCTAAATCAAAGGTCAGTACAAGAAGAGAGCATCTCACATCATGTTGTTTGAGCCACAGCTTACAAGCTGCAAGCTTCTCAAACACACTGCTGTACTAGCAAACTTAGGTGCTTTGTAATGTGATATTAAACTTACCAAGGGTGGTAGGATTTTTACTTGCACACACAGGCCTAATTTCCTCCGAATCACCTTTAATCAAAATACTGATAGTTGGATAAGTATTGGTGACCTTTGGGAAGGTCAGATTGAAAATGCATCCAAAGATTCTTTCATGCACAGAATAATTGCTGCACTTCTTAGGACTTTTCAAGCCATCATACCTGTGAGAATAAAAATACTTTTTCAGTTATAGAACAATAGGACTGATGGAGGAAAGCTTGTTTTTAAACCTATTTTACAAATTCTAAAGATTGGTCCTGCATAAAAGTTGTGCTATAAAGTTAAACAAAATAAGAATCTTATCATTTATCTCAAATTTTAAAAGGAACGTTGTTCTCATAAAGAGTTTCCAGTAGCAGAAGAGGAGATGTGTCAAAGTGTATTCAAGCATTAAAGATAACAGCTGGTTCCAGGTTTGCTCCACATTTTACCATGGGAAAACAATTTCAAGAAAAAAAAAAATCACAGAATCACAGAATGGTCTAGGTTGGAAGGGACCTCTGGAGATCATCCAGTCCAACCTCCCTGCTCAAGCAGGGTCCTCTAGAGCATATTTCCCAGGACATGACAAAATGAATCAAATCAATCTGGATCACTTCCCAACAAGGGTATTTTGCTTCTGTGATAGAATGAGCTAATTGAACACGTCTAGCAATGCCTTAGGTCTCTCAGCTTTTGCTTGAGAAAGTTCAGCTTCACCTACTGCATACACCTGCTTCCCAAAATGTCAGTATTCCCTTTCAGTAACAGAGAAGCTACAACAACCTTCTTCCTTGTTTCTCTTTGCTCCCTTCACTTTGTTCAAGTGAAGCTATCCCAGTGGCTTTTCCTCCCCAGAAAATTGGGGGAACTGATCTCTCCATACCACAGAAAAAAGAGCAATCAGAGCTTCGTGTAAGGGTGCAGGAGCAGTGGAGTTCCTCTACTGCCCACCTCCCTATGCAAGGGTGAGGTAAGCCAAACCCCTCGCTCCCGTTTTCAGGCCCAGACGCCTTTCTCATCCATCCTTCTTGTCGCTCTCTTTTGGGGTCGAGGAACAAGGGAGGCCTTAAGAGCAGGCAGCACCATGCAGATATATACGAGCTCCACTTCAGCAACTACTAATGTGCAGTGACTGGATCTTTTTGTCATAAGCAATGTTATGCTCACGTTCTCTTTTGATGAAAAGATAGGTTTTGCAGAAAAATACCAAGGAAGAAGAACATGGAATAGAATTAAGCCATCATTTTTCAAGTTATTATCCGGTCGCTTTTGAAAAAACCCTGCATTACAGCAAATGCATCTTTCAACCCCCAAATAAAGTGTTTCGCCTTAGTTTTCAGCCATAAAACTTAGAAGTGCCTTTTTTTTGTTATGGAAAAAGTTGGACTGAACTTGAAAAAATGATGTTTGACTTCCAAGTATTTTTATTGCTGAGTTCAGTTAAGCAACATGAATCAAAATGCTTTGATGTCATTACAGCTACATTTCTCATTAAAATGAAAGAGCAAGATGTAAACAGCTCTAGCCTACAGCACTGTATACATATATCAGCATATATATGTACACCATATATATGTACCATATACAACTATACATATACCTAGAAATTCAGATCTTCAACTTACTGTTACTGTTCTTGTAATAAAGAAAAAGTTTGTTGTGAGTAGTGACTTAGACACTCAGAGAGCAGTCCTCCACGCATTTAACTCATACAGCAAGTTTACTGCTATTTGCTGTCAAAATGCGTTTAAAAGAACAGTTAGTCTGTGAGATTGCCACTGGAGTGGAAAAGGAAAAAGTTTATTCAGTCACAGGCCAGATAAGACACAAAGCTAATTTAAGGCAAATTACAACAAGGCGCTTTCCAAAATAAATTTTCAATACTTCTACAGAAGCTAATGCAATCTGGCATTTCACACAAAGCATCAACATGCAGAAGTATGCATAGATTAGTGTGCAAAGATCTTGGAGCCAATTTTTCCTCAAATCGCAACTCTGTTCCTTTGGAACAAGAGACTATTTATGGCAGTTAGCTGGCAAGCATAGGTGATGATAAAAAGATGTTCTCCATAACTCTTAAGGTGAATCAGTTATTTATGACATAGAAGACACCAGTAAAGCTACTGGTAAGTGTTATTAATGCTTCCATACCATTTTTGAGTGATTTAAGAACCGAGATACGCAATAGTGAGCATCTCTGACATAAATTGCAACCCAGGTTTGTTGGGCTGCAAAGAAAAGAACGAATATGTTGGTCTAGCACAGTTCTTATTCTTCCCTGTTTGAACCCACAATTAAAAAGAAAAAAGATAAGAAGCAGCAGTTATTTTTAAATGGGCTGCAGAAGTAGCCAGTACTTCGTGCAAATAAACCAGCTTCCCGAAAGGACTCAGCAGCAGCAACCTCTTGACCCTTCCGCAGCTAAGCTTTCTGTTGGACAGGACCCAGCCCCATAACTTCTACATAGTGCTTTGGGATCTTGCAAAACAACAGGAAAGAGACAAATAAAACTTACTAAGTAAGTAATGTAAAATTAAAGATAAGAGTTAAAGCACTTTAGAGTTGGGAATAAGAAGTTAATACGAACCAGTAGAACAAAGTATACTTGGTATCACTACGTGCGTTCTTCCCAGCAAACCACCTACAATCCATATACTCCAAATTGTGCCAGATGCACTCCAAGTCCATAGCAGCAGTACCCAGAACACCTGCGATGCAAGTTTGAAAGGCCGCTTAGATTTACATTCTCAGCAAAGTCTCCCCCCCCCTTTCTAGAATGGAAACATCCCATTTTATGTAAAAACGGCTGCCTTTAGCTACCTGAAAGGTGAAGATGGGCTACCTCTCAAGCTGCATGGCATACCTTCGCGCAGTGAGCGAGGTCCGGTTGTTTACTGCTTGCAATAACCCAAATCTCATTGGAGCAACTTCTAAATGCAAGCTAACCAGAAAAAAAACCTCAAAATTTCTACCATGTCTAAATTACTGCTTAGAATGACCTGATACTGAGTATGAGGTGGTCAGTCTGGAAGTTGTTTTGCTTCTGTTAAACAACAGACACTTTAAAAAGGAGTTAAAGTAATTGGCAATTAAGTGATAGCGCTCAGCTTTGTTTGAAGTATTACAGCCATCGACATTAAAAATAGCCAGCATTTAATTATAGCTATCTTCTCCAGATTCAACATTAGTTTCTCTGTATTCTGAACATAGAAATACCTGTTGATGTTAAAAATGGACAAAAGCAACACTGGGGTAAGTTGAATTTTTAATTGAGACCCATATACTGCTAGACATTCTACTTCTTCAGCATATTGAAAACCTAAGTTACAGAACATAAAAACAAATGAATACATAGCAACTGTGAACAGAGAAGTCAATATATGTCCCAGGCAGAGCAATTGCAGAATAACATCTTTCATATTCAATCCTGCATCACTGCGTGGTACACATTACTTATAATGTATTAATATATTACAGCTTGTCAGATATTCTTCTTTCAACAAGTAGCAACATCTCCAACAACTAAAAATGAAAGATAATTTTAATCAACAGTCCAGACTTTTATTGACAACAAACCCAAAGCTTATTTCGACTCCTGAGCTTGCATTCTCCCTGAAGCAGTGACTACTATGCAAGAGTAGAAGAAAATGAAACTAGTTTTCCCATTCCAAGAGGTTTTTAAAAATATTTATCTGCAAGGAGACTTTTAAAACTCTCAACTTGTTTAGCGCATGCTGTCACAATGATCCCCTTGCCTGACTTTCTAGAATGCCCTTTCAAAGGACATGCAGATAAATCTGGGAAGGTCTCAGATTCTTCTGTCTGCAAGCCATTTTCATGCATTTTGAGTCATGACACTGGGTAGACTTCTACTAAACAAAGCAAGAAGTAGTATTTCCTTGCTATAAGCTCCTAACTTCCAGTATGCAGCAGTTCGAGGATATCCTTAGCTGGAGATTACATATATAGAAATATATTAATAGAAAAAAAATATATAGAAAAACATATATATATGTATGTATGTATGTGTTTGTGTGTAACCTCCAGCTGAGGATCCTTGACCTGCTGAATATTGGAAGTTAGAGAGATAGACATATATATACACCATTGTATATAATAGCCCTTGCTGGACCTTTCTTGCACCAATCTATCTAAGCAGTTCTTAGAATCCGAGTATGCTTCTTAGCATCCAAAATATCCTGCGGCAATACACTTCATAATTACATTTTGTGAGGAAAAAGCATACATTTTTGCTTAAAGTCATCTTCCTAACAATTCTTTTATGTACCACTTATTTCTGGATTAAAAAAAAACCACACAGAAAATAATTTTTCCTCCATTCATTTTTTCATTCACAGCTTCTTAGACTCCACTAATCTCTCTGGAAAAAGAGAGAACCCTACTATAATTCTTTAATTAAGCTTCTCATTTATTCAGCTAGTTAAATATGCTAGATTCATCCCTCAACCTTTACAAATGTAGGGCTATTTTGAGGAGTCATGCTTGCACAGAAAAATGATACAAAATAAGCTGACTTAGATTTTAATAATGAAGTCAGCTGGCTTAAAAGAACATAGGCTCTCTCTTATCTCATAACCTGAACATGGCAGGCTATGCATGTTCATAAGGTAAGACGAGCAACAGGAATCACAACATTGCCTTGGAAGAGCATTTAAATTTTAAAAGCCTGCCTGTAAGTGCCAAAAGACTCCAGCTTGGTTTAAACGTAACAGAATCACCCTGTTCAGGCTCTCCTAACTGCAGAGTTTCCTAAATTCCCAAATAAATCTCAGCTGCTCTTCCCTACTATCTCAGTCACAGCCTCAGATGAGCCCATGTGTAGCACAGAGCGTGCTACCAGGGCAATCCTGCTCTTCAGTTTCCTACTTCATAGTTTAGTCCTTGCCTCTGGGATCTCTCCCAGAGATATCGCTCTATGACATATTTCTATGATGTCTTGTTAAAATTGCTCAGAAGACAAGACTATGTCAAGGAGAGGCATATCTGTCTTAGTCTTGCTGTCTGGAGTGTTACCTTTTGGCCGAACAGAAGTCTCCACCCATCTGCTTGGCTCACTTGTGTTATCATACTTGCATTCACTTCTCACTTTGAAACGCATCTCCTCACTCAGGAACATATCAGTCACACGGAAGAGACTTTTACTCCATTCCTAGGTTTAGATGGGGGAAAAATAAATCAGACCATTTGGTTTGTCATACCAAACACAAGGAAATTACTACTAACATAGGAATAATTAGAATCCACCAAAAAAACTACAGCTCAAAGCCCAATGAAACAACCTTCTGAAGACACGCGAAGACTCAGTGGCGCTTAGCTCACTTTTGTAATCAGATGAACTCAGAACTCGCAGCATGAAAACTTCTCTTGCTCTTAATCCAGTAACCGATAGACACAAACACTAGCCACACAGAGATCAAGGAATGGGGAGGAAATTCATCCTAGAGCAGGTCTTCAAGAATAAGCGAAGTGCAGAATAAGCGTGCTACAGACGCTACAGTTATACAAACAGAAATTTACCTTCATCTTCCTGTGCGTTTGCACATGCGTGTGTGACTAGAAGAAAGAGCACTCAAAGACCTAACCAAGAGGAAATAAGAAGAATTTACATGGATTTAAGGAGCAAAGGAAAACTTCATCAAAAGAGAAATCCACAGATGGCTATTTAAATAGAATGACACCGCATCAGGCCCAAGAAGTCCACAAGCTTCCAGTTTTGGAGACGGGGCCCGTATGTGTTTGTGCGAGGAAAAGGCTCACCCCTTTCTCATACGCTTTCTTGAGCATCTTTTATTCGGCCAGGGAGATGTCTCTTGCTTAACTGCAGACAGGCTACACAAAGCTTTGGTAGGACCAAAGAATAGTATAGCCACTCTTGCCCACACACAAAAAAATTCATGTTAATGAAGAGAAAGGAACTCAAACAGCCATTAGCAGAGTAGGTTCTGTCTGCTGTAATGCAGTAAGACGCAACAAGATGATGGAGTCTGGTTTACCCTGTCTCGTGATACCACAGAGTAACAGCTCTTTCACTGCTGCTGACTCCGACGTTTGTCAGACCCTTCCACAAAGTCACCGGACTTGTTAACCGAGCAGAAAATGAGTCTATTAGAAGAGGTAAATATGTTTCGGCTGAGTTAGCAAGCTCAATTGGCTCACAGAAAGGCCTGACGAATACCCAGTCCGTCGTTAGAGAAGCGGATGTCAAAAATGAAACTTTACCCTTTTAGCAGCGTTAAGCCACTAAATCAGCTGAGCTGTTTGTGAAACTGCAGTCCTCCTTCAAGTCCAGGATATCCTGGAGCTGTGAGAAAGAATACAGCAGTCACAGCGAGGACGCCACTGCACACGTTAGACCATAAAACTATAATAGTGCTCAAGAACAAAGGACTATTTCATGAGGCATCCTTAGAAACATAGTGTCAATTTAACTATATCCAAGATACACCGACTGCGGGGCTGGCAGTGCTGTTATGTTTCACGTTTCACATTCTGATAGTCAGAACCTACGGGTTGATAGAATATTAACTGATTGGGAATAAATTTTAAAAATATTCCCCCTACAGCCCTTTCAGCACCACAAATATACTGCTCTCTCCGTCATGATGAAACATCTAGGAAGCCACAGCTAGACACACCACGAATCAGATCAGGGATGCAACCCGTCTAACAGAGAAACAAAAGGAAAAGGCTACAACAAATGGCTTTTGCAGTTTTTTCAGGGTACAGATTTGTTCCCTGTCCTGTCCGTAAGACAAACCCCACGAATAATTGCCAGTACACATGCTGGGACAACGCGAATGTATGAATACTTCAATACCTGGCATTATCTCCAAAAGGCAATATACTGTCACACCACAACCTACACCGAGACGAATGTGCATGCCTCTTTCCTGGCTGGAGTTCAAAGTGAAGGAAAATGGCCTTTGCAAATTCACAGTTACATCTTAAAGATGCAGACTGCCATGGATATGTGTTTTTAATAGAAAGCTGTCAACACAAATAATGAGACAGTACTTTTCACATTGTTATTATTATAGTACTTGCGAGTTATCAGTAACAGTCATCTTATCAGACAGCCACGGGCAAATTTTTCTGATCTGAATATTCCACATGCTAGCATGACTCATTTTCTGAGGCTTTTGATCCGATGACAAGAACTACAGGCTGTATTTATATGTGTGTGTATGCATAAACAAACACCCAATTTTACCGCAGTAATACACTAATTGGAGTATAGAGGGGCTCAAGGGCCAGAAGAACCTACTCTTTTGTCCTGCGGGACCTCATTGATGACGATGTCACTGGAGTATTCCAGATTGCAGCTACTGCTGACGTTCTCCGGGGCTGTCCACGTCCAGTTCAGGGTGCAGATTTGGACAAATGAAAAGTCTAGGTTGGATGGAGGTGGAAGAACTTTTGCTCCTAAAAGAAAGAAGAAGCTTTGAGTATAGCAGTCCTGTTGGTCAACAAGTTACCATTAATAACACTGACAGATTTCTAACTCTCCCATGGAAAAGAACGCAAATGGCTTCTCACATTTCTCTGTTCCTACTTTGCTTTCAAACAAGCTGCTGTCTACTAAAATGCTTCTCCTCATTGCTGTTAACTCATCAATCATTTAAATAACTATATGAAACCATTCCAGAAAAACTTAATTTTTAAAGTAATTTTTAAGTCATTGCTGCAGGCAACAGTATGGTGGCAGTGGTAATAAAGCTTAGGCTTGTGGAAGGAAAGTAAATCTCACAAAGTGCCCTCATTTTCCAGTTGTTTACTACTGCGAGCTAGCATCGTGCATGCATGCACGTGATGCAAGTATTATGCATACATAATACGTAAATTTTGCAGAGCAATTAATAGTTTATTTTATCCACAGAGTAGCCATGAAGGTAGTTTTAGAGAGAATACTTTAAAAAGACAAGCGATTACATCTCCCAGTAAGGTTAGACTGTAGGTTAGAACCACAATCTAGCCCAACCTAAGCAAGACCGAGAATTTTAGAAACAACAAAAAAACCCACAACACAACACTCTTCCTATTGCATACCTATTCAACCTTTAATGCTGTGCTCTTGCACAGCAAGCAAAATTGGTGTGGCACAAACAATAATTTGCTGCTGGCGCACTTCAGCGACACATTTCTTCACCTTTCCAAAAGCAAGATGGAAGCAGGGGAAGAGCCATGACTCAGAGACACTTGCTGAGATGATTCCATTTGTGCAGTGACCCTTCCTTACTCTTGTGCTCTGACTCACAGCCCACTCTATATTCAGTCATACAGTCTGAAGACTGTATTGGAAAGGAGAGAAGGGAAATCGGGCAGAGAGTAGAAAACTGCCAAGAAAAAATTGAGTAAAACGTGTCAGAACTAAACACTGGAGAGAGTTACCAACTGGGGATTTCCTAAAAGAATGGAAATTATTTTTTTTAAAGGCCACTATATTGTTTACTATTAAAAGACATTAAACAAGAGGACAAATTGCTTCCCGAGCGTATCTACGGGTATCATTAATGAAGCACCACCACCTACTTGACCGTGGGAAGAAACCGTCCATGTTACGCAGTAGCTTCACAAACACTTCACACTAACGTGAACTGGTACTGCAGGTCTTGCTCATCCCAGGAAATCAACCTCAAAATCCCCTAGTATTTGGGGAAAAGGGAGAGAGAAGGGCAGGATGCTCATCCCAAGAGCAGTTCTCCCATCCAGCTCAGTGTGCAGTCGCCTTTGCTCGTGCTAGTGCAAGACGGGGCGAGTGGAAGGGCAAAGCAGCTGTTTTCAGCAATAATTTCATTTGAAGGGTTTGTGACACCATGATCCTACGTTTCCCTAGAGCAAGAGCTGCCAAAACATGAAGTAAAAAGGTCCTCACATCCCTGGAAGTTTCTCAGATGTCTGTGCAGTTAAAGAACAGGCAGTAGCGTAAGTCGCTACTGTTGGTGTGTCCATGTGTATGTATGATAATGTATATTCTCATGCAAAATAAGAGTAATTACTAGGATTTTACTATCTTAGTCTGAATACTCTCGGCAACACTAAACCTAATTCTGTTGTAAATTATTAAGTATTAAAGGATGTGTCACCAGACAGACTTGTTCTTTGAATGTTTTCTTTTGGGGGGGGCGGAATACTTAAAGCTTTCTTTTTTGTTTTGTTCAGTCTTACAACTGACCTCGGAAGCAGCAAGCAGCGAAGAGGACCTTCAGTTCTACTGAACTTACTAAAACTTGGTCTCTCCTCAGCGCACTGAACCTAGCCAGAACATCTTTGCCTATTACCTCTTCCACTAACAAAAATTACTACAGGTTTTAGGAGCAGCATTGTGGGCCTTAGTTTACAAATTCTAAGTGCTACATCACTTAAGTCCTTTAGATCTGGTTAAAAAAAAAATCAGCAGGACAACACAGCTCCAAGCATTCTGTATTTTTCATGATCAAGCTTTTTATTAACTACTAAAGCACAAACCTTCAAAATATAAAGTTTTCGCTTTCATTGTCTTTCTGAAAATCCACATATTTCCTTTTAGTAAGGCTGAATTAGAAATCTGGAAGCTCAAGTGGAATTATTTCTAACTGCACAAAGTTAGAACTGAGGGTATTCAAGGCTTCTAAATAAATGAATAAATACCATTAGCACAAAATCTCCCCCAAATTTTAGATTAATCCATACAATTTTGAGGTGCATGCTTTAATATTACATCCAACTGAAGAGCTGCTTTCATTCAGTGGCTTGACCAATCTCAGTATTTTTGTTATTTAATTCTCATTGATACAGCACTTTACCAGAACACCTCGATGACCGAAAACACAACGTATAAAAGATATTATTCACTTTTAAAAAAAAAAAACAAAACCCACAACGATGCTTCCAAGACGATAAACTGCAGCAAGGCTCTCTGAGGCCATCTCGCCTAATAAGAACATAGTATGTTCAAGCGCCGTAATGCTGGGTGATGAGTTGTAAAGTACTTCGGCTTTGCATTTTGTCCTCCTAGCTTTCCTAAAGACTGATTTTATAGTTACGAACCGAATTGCAGCCGAGGAAGAAAAGGAAAAAAAAAAAAAAATTTTCTCAAACGCTTGCGATCGCGTTGTCGCACCCTGGCCACGAAGGCGCAGATCGCTCTTTATTACTAAGCCCCCTCGCACACCCTTTCCCGCGACCCAGGCAAGGCTCCCGCTTCCAGAAGCGAGGCAGCAAAGAGCAG